TGATTCTGTGACCAGGATTCCTTCCAGGACCTCTGCTTTGCCAGGCAGGAGGGTCGGGCATCCTCCCGTGCTGCAAGGAAGACCAGGAGGCTGCAGCGTGCTCCCCTCCACCCTCCAGGCTGATAATCCTCCACCTCCTTTTCCTGCCCCCTCTCCCAAACAGGCCCAAGCTTCTGCACGATGGGGGTTGAGCCAGTCTCTTTTTTTTTTTTTTTTTGGACCAAGCTGGTCCGGTTTAGACGCCAGTTTAAGATTATTGAGCAAGTCTGGGTCCGCTTTCCACAACCCCAGAGCAGCGCAGTGGATTCAGGGACTGTAATTCTACTACAACCCACCCCGCAGACCCAGCTCAGAGGCTGTTTCCTCCAATTCCCTCGGGACAGGGCTGGCTTTCTCCAGGGGGTCGGTGACCAGCGGTTCCCCTCGCCCTGCCCAGGGGCAGCCCCAGTGGGCTGAGCTGCCCCAGCCCTGCAGGCTGGTTTGCGCGGGGGCTGCACGCACCGTGCCGTGAGGGAGAGGGAACAGCAAGGTGCTGGGATCAGGAGCTGGGACCCCGGCCGCGCTCAGGCTCTCAGCATCCATCCAAACACGTGGGTTGATCCAGATACAGCTGCAACCAGTCTCCCTTTGGCTCTTAACCTTTTCCTGAGGCATGTGGGGCTTCGGCACACGGTCTGGTCGTGGCTTGGCATCCCAGTAAACCAGAGGGCGTTTCAGGTTGTAGTACAGCGCCTGCACGTTCCCTGTGAACCAGAGAGAAAACAGGACAACAAAAGCCATTGTTGCTTCTTTCTTGGTCAGAGTGGACCGTGCTGCTCATCAGCCTGCCAAGGCTTTTCTAAGCAGGAGCCCTCTGCTCCCATCACTCACCAACTGGCGCGATAAAATCCATGTCTGTGTCCCCACTGAGCAGCTCCTCGTAGCCTTTGTATCTCGCTGGAACCACCTAGGAGCTTCCTTTCCCTCCTCTGCTCACTCCTCTTCTCCAGCCTGCCCTCTGCCATGGGTTTCGGCAGGGGTCTGGACTCATCCTCCACCTCAAAGCAGCAAAAAAAAGGGAATTCACAGCAGCCCTCTCTTACCAGTCAAGCTGGTGGAGTCAGCCAGAGCCTGTCCGGCTGTGTCTGTCTCAGCAGCACTGAACCACACAGTCACCACCTCATCCCATCTTGCTCAGCGGGACCGAGCACAGAGGAGAGGGGGGCCATCCCCATCCCAGGGAAGACTTTTTTTTCCCTTGAGAATCCCCAAATTTTTAGGGAAATCAGGTCAAAAAGCTGCCCTGGTGAGCCCTAAGAGGGAGTTTTCCAGCAGATGCTGCAAGGACAACACTGGACCGATGAGCTCCTCCACACAGGGCTACTCACGGAGCCAGCACAGCCCCGTGCCAGAAAATCTGGCCACTCATTCTTGGTCACAGCGTTGCATTTATGCTTCTTGCTAGTGCTTCCTTCCTTAAAATCCCTTGCAGTCAAAGGAGGGTCACAACCGTCGGCGTCCACAGCACGTCCGCACCGTTCATTCCCTCAGGAAACGAAGATCCATCTGTGACAAGCCCCAAAGTCCTGGAAACTCAAGTCCTGGCCTCACCTGCGTCACGAAGAAGGGTGCAATGTCCTCAGCTGCGCCGGGAGGAGGCCTGGAGTCGCCTTCCTCCAGCACCGTCCGCCGGCTGCGGTCACGGAGCTGATGGGGGGCAGCAGCCGGGATGGACTCGGAGGTGCAGCATCTCTCGCAGCCTCCGCCGCAGCCGGGAGCTGTTGACAAACAAGGGTCTTGGCAGGAGCTTCCAGCATCAGCGGCCGCTTCTTGACTTTGGGGAGAGGCGATGGGAACCTGGAGGGACCCAACGGACGTCCGTGCACGCTGCCACGAGTGTCAGCGTGGGGTCAGGTCCGACAGCTGGAGGCTGATCCTTATGGGACAGGGAGTGCCTGGCTCCAGGGCCACTCTGGCAGCATCGTTGCTCCCATAGGATCCCTCAGCCAAGGCTGAGGGGCAGGGCTGAACCCCAAAACCCGGTGACCAACCCTGCCTGGGGCAGCAATAAGGGGATGGTTGGACTCCCCAACCTCATCCTGAGCGAAATACCTCCAATTCTTCCCACTCTTCCCTCCATCCTTCCAACCCCACTGGGATCCACGTGTGCCACCAGCTCCTCCCATGCTCCCCAGCAGGTCAGTTCCTGGCAATCCTGCCCTGAGACTTGCAGCAAGGGTTTCATCCCTGCCTTAGGCAGGAAAAACCCCGCGGCACATCCCTCCTTACCTTGCGGCTGGCTTTGAGCGGGACGGAGAAGTGCCACCTCTCCGTGGCTAGGCTCTTCTGTCGGACAAGTTTAATTCCCAGATGGTGCTGGAGGAGCCAGGTCAGCAGAGGCAGGCGGCCTCGGGGAGCAGAGGTTCCCCAAAGGAGAGCCCGTGCCCCCGCTCCTTACACCATGCCAACTAAGCCCAGGCTCGGCTCAGAGCACAGCGCTGCCCAGGGACCTGACTAGAAGCCACCTTGTTTAGTAGGGAGATGCTTTAGCCCTAAGGACAGGCACCAGACTGGGCTACGTGTCGCCAAGGCCAGAGGAGCGGTTCCGATCGGGTTTATTTACCAGTTTACACGCAGGGAGCAACGCCATCGCAGCGTTTCATCAGCGTCCGTGTGGCTGCCTCCAAACGTCGCCTATCGAGGCCACGGGCGCGTTCGGGGTTTATCCACCCTGCTCAGCAAGCTGCTGCAGGAGGAAACCTGGACCAGCTTCACGTGAGCCTTTTGTGCGATAAACACCATTTGGGGAGCAAAACTTAGCCTGAGACTGCACTGCCTCGGTCGTGGACGGGCTGTTACAGACTTTGATGGGGCCAGGAGCAGCAGCAGGGCACTAACAGCGTTTGCAAAAATTGCTTATTAGAGAGGAGCAGTGATTAAAGCACCTCCCTGGGCCTGGGCCAGCACAGCAGGAGTGACCCAACACCGAAAGGCAACGTGTCCCAGAGTGACGGAGGGACAGAGCAGCAGCTCCCCGCAGAGCTGGGCTCCTACTGTACCGCTCCGGGTGGCGGCAAGAGGGTGGTTGTGAAAGGTTAGCTCCTTCAGGCACGGGAAGAAAGCCATGGGGAAGAGCTGTCTCGTCTGCCATCCACAAGATAAAATAGTCTGCTGTTTGCTCTAAGCACCGAGTCATGCCGGAGGCTGCAGAATTTCATCCCACTCCTCCCACCGAAGCGCGATCCCTCCAATGTGTGGGGACCCTGGCACTGCAGGGCAGGTACACGCAGTGGGGAGGAGGAGGAGGGAGATGGCATCCCTTAACCAGGGATGCCCAGCAGCTCTGCTGCCTGTGATTATAGAGGCAGCACTCTGCTCTCCCTCCTGCGCGCTGCAGCCGGAGGACCGGTGCCTCAAAAGCTTGGAAGAGCCGCCAGGTAGAGAGGCAGGACTTTCCTCCTGCTCAGACTGCCCAGAGCTGCAGCTCAAAAAAGTCCCACCTCTCCAACCTGCAGTCCAAATCACATCCTGGCCAGAGTATGGCGGCCAGAAATCACCTCACTGACAGGGCAGTGACCTAAACCAGGGCAGTGACACGCAGGGAAGGGCGGCAGAGCTTGCTTTGCGAGCGAGCAGAGCCGCCCCGTCACGTCCCAGGGGGCTGCCCCTGGCCGAGCAGCGGTAACCTGGGCGCCGCCAGCTCACCTGGCTGGGCAGCAGCGTGAGGTGGGCCCTGGGCAGGAGCCAAAAGCACCAGGAAGAGGAGCTTAAATGCGGTTGCGTGTTATTTGTCCGCCGGGACACACCGAGAACCCGATGTGGCTCAGCAGACAGGCATAACCTGGCGCTCCAAGTCCTTGGTGAGACATCACCATCCACCCAGCAGCTCCAGCAAAGGACCAGTCCAGGGGGAACAGCTTCCTTCATGTATTCTCTGATGAAATCCCTGAATAGGCAAGGATTCAGACAAGCTGGGTGCAACTCAGCTGCCTAAATAGGTGTCCTATCCCACCCGAGAGATCCTGGGTATCTGACACATTCCCCCGGGCTGGCAGATGGACACGGGAGCCCAGGAGAGCTGTGCCCTTCTGCAGTGGCAGCTAAAGGCCAAGGGTGTCTCCCAGGGGACTAAGGCCGGGCTCAAGCAGCTGAGTCTTTACACTTACCCAGAGCCACAGGACCCAAATCACCTTGCTGAAGTCCAGGCTGAGACACTTGGGCTCAGAAAAGGGAGCACAAACGTCCCTGTGTGTGGAGGGAGCCGGCAGAACTCCTTCCTTAGAAGAGAGGAGGAAGAGGGTGAGCAGAGACAGGGCTCCAGAGGCTCCAGTGGCAGGAGACACCTCCAGCAGCAGGATACCACCCTCCCGAGCCCAAACAGAGCTAGAATTGGAAGAGATTTTGGTTCAGACCCACTTCAGAGGTTGTCTCGTGGCAGTTTGGTTTGGCCTCTGCTTTACTGTGGGAGAGAGTCACGTCAAATGCACCAAACTCCATCATTCCGCGCTGAAAACGTGCGTGGGCTCAGGGGGAAGCAGCAGTGTGTTATGCTGGAACATGCTGCAAGTGCTCAGCACCTCTGAAGCTCAGCCCCTTACTCAAGTTGTGACAAAAAAAATCAGGGTCTTTGGCTTCAAACACCTGATTCTGAAGAGCATCGTGTAGATAAATCTGGGGGAAAAGATTACAGGGCTAAGAATAAATGAATAAACTCCCAGCTCTTGAGCTTCAGGCCCCACCTGAGCCTCAGAACACATTTCCCCCACGCAGGGGGGCACACGGTCACCAGAAAACTTTAATTTGAGAGTGATGCCAATTCAAGCTCCAGTGTCCCTTGGTGATGGGAAAATCGGCTCCTGATCTCCCTGATGAGGGACGGGACTCGCCGCAAGCCTTGCGGGCACCCGGAGCGCCAGCAGCACCCACAGGCTTGTGGAAACTCAGCTGAGAGGCTTGGGGAAGGGGAGTTTTGGAGCTCACACGCCAGATCAGCCAACGGTTCTTACCAGCACTGGGTGTTCCTGAGGGGTGGAATTAAAAACGACCTCTGCCACGAAACCCAAGCAAGTGAGGGTTTCTACGTGAAGCCGAGCGCTGGGACAGCCCCCGCCGTGGCAAGGCTGGAATTATCCTGGAAATCAGGCAGGATCTGGCTCAATGGCAAGACATGCCCAAGGTGAGGGGGGTCAGGCTCACTGTAGCAGGCTTGCTGACAGCCCCATCGCTCCAGCTGAGGTCCACGTCCCTCCAGCACAGCAGAAACCCTGCTACTGGCCTCAGGGCAGCCAGGAGCTCCCTGCAGGCAGATTTTGGGTTGGGGTCTTGCCTGTGAGCACGAGGCCTTTCCCACATCGTGCTGCTACCACCAGGCCAGCACCAGAAGTTGCACCGTTGTCTGCTCCACTCTTAACGACAGGGACTGCTGCAGCGAGTTGGGGGGACAGGAGAAGGGCTTGGAGGAGCCCCACCAGCAGCTTCCACCACAGCCCAGTCCACACAGGAGACACCAGGCAGCCTCTGGAGCCATCCCATCGCGTGGCCCAGCGTGGTGTGTGCATCACACTTCGGTAAGGACGTCCAG